CCCCGCGATGCCGGGCTGGCACCGGCGCCGGCCGCTGCCGCCGTCCCGGGACCGGCCCGGCGCTGTCGGGCTGGCACCGGCGCCGGCTGCTGCCGCCGTCCCGGGACCGGCCCCGCGATGCCGGGCTGGCACCGGCGCCGGCTGCGCACCGAGCCGCCGCCGCCGCCCCGCCCGCGAGGGCGCTGCCCCGCCCCGGTCAGCCCCGGTGCCCGTCAAGGCTGTCGGGGAGGAGGAACAGCCAGCGAGGATTTACCGGGAAAATTATTCACGCACACAACCCCTTTCCCTCCCGCCCGACCCTCCAGAAAACAAAGAGGGGGTGATGGCCCCGCGAGCTCCGAGGGATACGGAATGGTGCGGGATGGACGGACAGCCAGACTGATTGCTGGCCCTGGCATTCTCCTCCTCAAAGTGAGTCTGGTCAGAACTAATTTACCCAAAAACTAATTTTTCCTGCCAAAAAAGGTGTGATGGATCGGCGAGCACAGAGGGGTGCTGGATGGTGTGGGGATGGACAGACAGACGGATGGATCCATTCCTGCAGCCCTCTTCTCCTCAAAACGTGAGCCTGTCTTTGGTGTTAAACCACCAAAACAGCTTTCCTGGAACTGAAATAGCGTCACCAGCCTGGATGGGGCTCTGCAGGAGCCTCTCCCTGACACAGGCGATTCCAACACCTGGGACCACAACACCAACCTGGGCCAGTTCCTAAGCCCCAAGCGGCTCCAGGCTTGTCCAGAAAACCCCCGCTGGTGCCCCCAGGGCAGAGCTTTCATGGCTCTTCTCACAACAGGCAGCAACAGACTTTAAAACACCAACAAATAGCAAGAACAAAGGTTGAATATTCACAATTGTTTCCAGGAATTAGACCTGCAACCTCAGCACAGGTGAGATGAGAGGCTGAAGTTCCATGCACTCATTTTTCTTTGCTCAAACCTATTTGCACATCGATGAAAGCCTTTGGTTTCTGAACACAGCTCACTGCTTACTCCTGGACCTTCCAACCCACAGCTCAGTTGGAAGCATGGAAATATTTGCAAGACCAAGCTGAGTTACAGGTGAACAGCAGCCCTTCAGACAACTCACATGTGGGCAGTTTGCAAATCTCCCAGCCGTTTGCTTTCCGTGGGATCCCAAAGCCTTTATGCATGCTCTCTCCCTTCCCCAGAATCCAGCCCTTGGAAAGGGCACTGCTGGGAGTCCCTGCCAAGTGCCACATTGGGACCACTGGTAGCTTCCTCAGGGCCCAGACAGATGGCAAGGCAGATGCCCTGCAGTGACCCACCAGCTCCTGGGGGACCCACATCCCCAAAAATGCACACAGGTATCCAGGGAGAGTACCCCAGCCCTGACAAGATTAGGTTACTTTGCTATTTTGTCCTAGGAAATTGAGTTCCTTTCCCCCCTTTATAGAGTCAAAATTGCCATATGTTAAATTGCAATTAGTTAGACTTTGTTACTCAAAAGACAAAGGAAAAGCTCTACAAGATTAACCCAAATACAAGTATCCTATTCTTCAGATCAGAGGGCTTTAATAATAATGACAAAAATCAATCTGAAACTAAATTAAATCTGCTGTTTATATTCATCAGGTAATTTGATCGAGAGCCTGCCAATGCAGGTCTCTAGTGCTGTGATAAATAAATACAAACATACTACTTTCAGATCACAAAGTTTTAGTGGAACGATCAAGAGAAAATTAAATCAGAGCTATTTTCCACACCAGACAAATTCCAATTAAATTAGGCCAGATTATTTAATAAGGAAGACTACAAAACTCCTGCTCTTTATTGATGTAGTGATGCAGAAATATAAACTTGTTGCTTTCCAGATCACAGCATTTAAATGCAAGGGAGGAATTAAGACTTCAGTAAAACTGGAAGTAAACACAGAAATTCCTTATCATCATCATCATCCTGACTTCTTATTAAGTGTCCAGCAGCAGCCTTCAGCCTTGCTGTCTTCCCTGGCTGTGATTCCTCAAGGAGCCCAGTACTTTACTGCATGGAGGGACCCAAGTTTCCAGTTTCCACAACAAGCCAAGTTTGGAAAGCAAAGGAACTGCCCAAGAAAACCCTAGAAACATTTCCTGATGTATCCTTAGTGATAAATCTGGCTCCCGTGTAAGAAATCCATCACATGCCTGGAATCCTTCTGTACCTTCCAGGTCAGCAACCAGCTTTTTTTTTCTTTTTCAGAGAGAAAACTCATGGATTGGGGCTGGAGGTACAAAAAGGGTTAGGGGCAAATGGTTATGAAAAGGCAGATGGACATGTCAGCAGGCTTCAAATGCTCAGTGCAATCAACTTATCTGCAGCTGCTAATAGGCAGAAAGGTACAAATTATTTTATTAAAGCTGCAAAAAGCAGAGCTCCTGACATTTTATTCCTGGGGAAGATATATCACACCCTATTTTCAGTGGATCACTGAATTAAGATTCAAGTTTATTTATTTCCTTCATCTGATGAGGCCCCAGTGCCTCCAGGCTGCCTCAGCACCAAGTACCTGCCTCCAAGGATTTTGTTCCCTTTTCAAAAAGTTTTGCTGACAACAGGGAATTTCAGTAGATTCCCAGCCTGTCAAAACAGCAGTCCAGGGAGAGGATCTCTGGGAAGCCTGGGCACTGCTGCAAAAGCAGGGGGAAGTCCTGCTCCCTGCATCCTCTGGAATGTGGGTCTGAGCTTCCAAATTGAAAAGTCCCCCAAAGGCTCCATAAATTCCAGTGAGTGTTACTGTTATACATTTATTCTTCTTCTGTATTTCTACTGTCAGGTAATATTCAATGAGACCAGGAGGCTCATGAAGATTTTGAGAGCAGAATTGTGAATGAAGACCCCTTGGGAGATATGAAAATTGTATGGAAGACTTTGAAGCCGCGGAGGGGAAAAGCTAAGTGACCCAAGGAGGTTAATGTGCCCCTTTCCCCCCTCCCCTTTGCAGGAGGAAAAGGGTAAAACCCTCTGAGAATCTGTACCAAATCCAGGTCATCTGCTCTGCAAAACACTGATGTACTCACCTGCAGAGAGGTCACAGACATACCCAGAGGAGCAGCGCTCCAAAGCCTTCTCTGCACTCCAACAGAAACAGACAGGGAATAAAGATGTGTGGTTGCAATCAAATTATCCCTTCAAAGAAATAACAATAAATGCTGAACTTCCCAATTACAAGGGACATACAAACCTTGGAAACCATTAAGAACCACTCCTTCTGTTGATGAATTATCCAGAGTGCACAGAGCTATTTGCTGAGCTTCACTGTACCATGCTAATTATAAATTAATATATTACTCATTACATAGTCAGGGTCTACAATCAGCTAATGCAGTGCTGCAAAGAGCCTGTTTTAAAACATCCTCTGGTATTTTTATGATTTAGATGTTTTATTTACTTCTGTTCTGGCTTAAATGCAACCAACATGTCATTCTTTCACAAAGAAATGTCCCTGGCTCCATCCTACCTCCTCTGGGGCTCAGCAACATAGATGAAAGATGGATCTTAGAAAGGCTTTTTCAATGCTAAGCACTTGCATGATAAATTAACTAAAATAGCATAATTTAAGACTAATTCCTGTGTTACTGATTTTTAAATCACTGTTTATCATGGCAACATGCTGGATTCACCTGAAGCTGTGCCCAGGGAAGGTAAGTACCTGACACCCCCATGCTCAGGGGTGACTTTGGGCGGGATGGGGAGACAGGGAAAGCATGAGCATGCCAGGCCAGACTCCCAGAGGGATGGGAAGAGTGAAGGGCAGAGCTGCTGGCATCCAAAGTGGCTGTTTATTGGCGTTAGTCTGACTCAGTCTACAACATCTGCATTCCCAGGCCCTGTGCCAGGCAACCTTGTGAAGGGAGGAACTTCAGCCTTGAAGATAAGGAGAAAACTTTACATGGATCTGTCTGGCAGGATGAAAAGGGGAAATGGAGCCCTCTTTCTTGGAAAACAGTCTTTAACACTGCATTGTTTCAGGGAGCATTCCTGCAGAAACATGTTTATTTGTCAGACCATTCTTTCCATGCTGTGCTCAACATAACGGAAACAACAAATATCAAGAGGGTCACAGAAGTCAGTCTGGAAACTGCCAATTCCTTCTTTCCAAGGAAAGCCTGCTGGTGACTCAGCAGTACAGGGCAGATTGGCAGTCTTACAGCGGGGAGACACATTCGTTGGAGAATCCAGTGGTTTTCAGCTTTAATAACATGATGATATTGCACTCAGAATATCTAAGAGCACCCCATGCGTGGCCAGCATCTGTACAAGGACACTGTGAGGGGAAGGAATCGGGAGCTGAGGAGAGGACCCAGGAATGTCCATGAATGACCCATGGAGAAGAACTAGAGGGATGTTGGCCTCAGGCTGGAAGGGTTGGTTTGGAAGGGGCCTTAAAGATCAGTATTTCCAACGCCCCCAGAAGGAACCTTAAAGATAACCTAGTTCCAACCCTCCACCATGGGCAGGGATGCTGCCCACTAGACCAGGTCCTGAAGGGTACTGAAAGAGCTTTGAAGTGTACTGGAGACCTTAAATCTTGGGATTAGAAGGTGGGAATACAGGTACCACTGAGTCACTTCTGTACTGTGATCCTAATAATCTGCTACAGTTTGAAGATCTCTGAAGTTGGCTAAAGCCTGGAGGGCTCTCAGTTCTGCTTCTGCTTGCCAGTTACAACGCTACAATGCAAAAGCCCCGTGTTCACAGGAATTGGTGGTTCCTCTGTGAAACTGAGGCACTGGGGCACACGAGTTCACGAATTTTAAGAAACAGACTCAAATCCAATTTTGCTTTACAGTAGCCAAGTATTATGTTTTTTGGTTTTTGGGGGGTTTTTGTTGGTTTTTTTGGGGTTTTTTGTTTGTTTGTTTGTTTGTTTTTTTGTTTTGTTTTTTGGGTTTTTTTTCTGTCACAGGAGCCGAGGCAGGGACGTGCTAAGGTCACGCTGTGCAAGCGATGGTTTTTACGCTGTCGACTCTTCCCCTCCCAGCCAGGGAGGATGTGTTGTTCTGCATCAGCTCAATCCGCATCCTGCTCACGCTGGAGCGCAGCATCCTGGGTGAAAAGGAGGGAGAGGTTCGGCTTTCAGCCCTCTCACGGTACGTCCCTGCTCCTCCGCAGGCTGCGGGTTATTAATAGATTATTAGCCCGGAATGGCCGCGCGTGGGCTGATGAGCGCGACAGGGGCGACAAAGCGCCCGGCGCTGGGCGGGGATTTTGTCCCGGAGCAGGTGGCGGAATCTTGGGACGATCCAGTTAGTAAACTTAGCTGTCGGCAAAACGCGTGGACAGGGCCAGCCTGTTCCCCCGCAGCCCCACCTCCAGCCGGGAAAAGACTTTTCCAGAGCATTTTCTGCGCTGGGATGGTTCGTGTCCCGGGGCTCCCGGCTGGCAGAGCACGTCCCTCGCCGGGAGATCTCGACCTCCACCTGCACCCGCCTGCGGGATACCGGCGGGGGGGTTCATCACCCGGCAGGGCTCGTTCTCCGCCGGCTGCGGAATGACGACGGGACTTTCATTACCCGGCAGGGCTCGTTCTCCGCCGGCTGCGGGAGATGCGCGTACGCGCTGCGGCGCTGAGCTGCTGCGCCTGCTTCCCCCCCGTACCGCGGCGGGGGGGAGCGGGGCGGGGCGG